AACCATACATCAATGGAAAGCTATTTATTCAGCTTTCAGATGATGTATAATTCTCAATTTCGAGAAAATTGCCCCTTAAGACTGCTCCAGGGTCACATATAATCAATTTCTTTTGATTCGGACATCTTAATGTCTTTGACCCATGAACACTGTTCACTTCACCGTCAAATTCTTGATGCACAAGCATTCATGTGGTTTTCTTTCTGCGTCAGGAGTTTCAGGACCAGATTAAGGCGGTGAGTTTTAAGGATGTGGTTGTTTCTGGACTCGAGCTGAGTGGCGCTCTCATCACCGCCATCATTAACGTGTACATCAAAGACAGCGCGTGTGTAGACACCGTCAGTGCTCACCTGAGAGACATCTGCCCTCTGCTGTACAGCAGCGACGACAGCATCTGCTCAAAGGTACCTGTGCTTCTCAATGAGACTCCGTTGTTTTTTTGTTGTTGGTTTTGTATGTATGCATTTTTTAATTTAGCTTATTTAGTTTGTTTTTAATTTACTTTTTGTTTGTTTTATTTATTTACTGATTTCAGTTATTTAGTTTTTAGTTCAGTTTTTAATAAGTTTTTGTATTTGTTCATTTATTTTATGTAGCTATTTTTTATTTGGCTTATTTTTTATATTTAGTTTTTAGTTATTAATTTATTTTGTTTTTAATATATTTATTACATTTAGTTTGTATTTTATTTTTATTTAAATCTTAGTTTAGTTTTATTTATTGTTTTTTTATTTCAATATATTTAGTTCTATTTTTTATTTATTGTGTTTATTTATTTTATTTTATTTTTAATTTACATTTATTTAGTGACACCTTTATTAGAAAAATTATTATTTAGCTTATTTATTTTATTTTTATACTTTTTTCATTAATTTGTTTGGTTTTTAATTTAGTTGTTTTAGTTTTTTGTTTTTGTTTTACATCTAGAGTGAAACTTATTTTTTTTATTGTTTTTATTTATTTTTTTTAGTACTCATTTTTTGTATTTTTTTAGTGTAGCTTTTTTATTTGTTTTTATTTTTAGTACTTAGTTTTTGTATTTATTTATTTAGTGTGGCTATTATTTATTTATTTTTTGTATTTATTTGGTTTATTTTATTTTAATACATTTTTATTTATTAATTCATTTAATTCTTAATTTATTATTTTGTTTGTATTTTGTATGTGTTAGTTTTTATTTATTTTTTAATTTTATTTTTTAGTATATTTAGTATAAGTATAGCTATTTTAGCAGCTTTTATTAACTTTAATTTTACTACATTTTTATTTTTTACTATTAACGTACTATTATTTGAAAAATAAAAGAACATTTATTTTTTATTTTTTTAATTACTCAAGTATTCCTTGACCATAACTATGCTGTTTTTGTTTTTTGATTATTTTAACGCTGAAGGAGTCCCTGCGCCTCTATCAGCAGATCAGTCACCACACAGACCTGCCCCTCGTCTGCTCACAGTACCGGCAAGGTGAGTGCAGAGTGAGCTTTAAACGATTCACCTGCTTTTAGCGTTGTATAACACCCTGATCGCATTCTGTGCTCGTCCAGTGCGCTTCTATGAGGGAGTGGTGGAGCTGTGTCTCACAGCTGCTGATAAGAAAGACCCTCAGAAGCTGGGGCTGCACTTCTACAGGAACGGAGAGCCGGAGGAGGACTCCAGCGGCCAGCAGGCCTTCGAGCAGCGGTCAGTGCACACACACACTTCTTTTTAGGGATTTAACGATTCACTCAAGTCACGATTCGATTCAAAATGAGATTTAAGACAAATTATAAATGAAATGTGTCCTTTTATTATTGCGTGGACAAAATGCTGCACATTTCTTTACTTTTTTACTTTTTACTTTTAGTCATTTAGCAGACGCTTTTATCCAAAGCGACTTACAAATAAGAAAAAGTAATTAAAGCTAAAACTCTATAAATACTATATATATATATACATATTTAAGAAAATAAAAGAAATTAAATAAAAATTACAAATGCATACAACAACATTTCAAAACTAAACATTTAAATGAAAACAAAAAAATAAAGCTAAAAACAATTCAAAATGTTAAAAGAACAAAAGGTATGAGTATAATAATGATTCTAACATAACACTAAGCCAAACACCATAAAACAACTACATGTGTTTGTACAGCCACACACACATACATATACATGTACATATATATATATATACATATTATACACACACACACAAAGAAAAACAAGTAGATAGAATAGAAAAAATAGAAAGCTAGTTTTTGTTTTTTGTTGTTTTTTTAAATAAAGAATAAAAAAATAAAGAAAAAAGATAAATATAAAGCAGAATTAAAATAGAATAGAAAGTGTTAGGGTTCCTGAGATGCCATTTTCCAATAGGGTTGACAGGAGAATCTGGTGGTTCACCGTATCAAAAGCAGCAGACAGATCTAGGAAAATAAGTATAGAAGATTTGGAAGTCACTCTTGCCAGTCTTAGGGCTTCAACAACTGAAAGCAAGGCAGTACACCAGTGTGAAGGGATGTGTTAATGATGTGAGTGAGTGCAGGTACAACGGCAGGAGAAATGGCTTGAAGGAGATGAGATGGAATAGGATCAAGCGGACAAGTAGTAGGATGATTGGAAAGGATGAGTTTAGAGACTTTTGCCTCAGAGAGTGGAGAGAAGGATGAAAACGAGTGTATGTTTGCTGGTAAGATGTGTTTGACAGTTTGTGGTGTGGTAAATTGTTCACTGAGGTTTGTAATTTTATTAATGAAGAATGTGGCAAAGTCGTCAGCTGTTAGAGTTGATGGAGGGGGAGGAGGAGGACAAAGGAGGGAGGAAAATGTTTTAAAGAGCATGCGAGAGGTAGGCGAATTGTTAATTTTGTTGTGATAGTATGTCCTTTTAGCAGTGGAGGCATTAGCAGAGAATGAACAGCAATGATACAGCGTTTCCTTGGTTACAAAGCAGAGCTGTGCTTATGGCAAGATGAAAAGAAAAAATACTATCTAAACTTTTCTAAAGACAGTAAGTTCCCTTCAGACATACATTCATATAAACTCCTACACCTAATTGAATCGCGATTTGTTTAGCATCTCAACCGATTTGAATTGTCACACATTTGAATCGATTTTCAACCGGCTCGCGGTTAATCGTTACATCCCTAGTTCTTTTACAGGATCCTGAGGTGCTCATGTGGGATTTGCAGGTTTAAATCAGGCTGTAACTCTTGTTTTTGTCCAGGCTCTGCTGTTACAAATGCATCACGGACACCATGCAGGAGCTGGTGAACCAGAGTAAAGCAGCCCCTCAGTCTCCCAGTGTCCCTAAACAACCCGGACCCCCCGTCATGACCTCTGACCCCAACATGCTGAGCAATGAGGACGCTGCCGCTCATGTGAGTCACACGCTAGAGCTTCATATGCTTCAGTTTGAACCTGTGAGATGCTGTGTTATTTATATACTACTTTTAGTGCTTGCTAATATTTCGAATTAGCTTTTAATTTTGTTTTAATTTTAGTAAAGTGTATTCTTATTTTTAATCTTTACT